TAGATAGATAGATAGATAGACAGACAGACAGACAGATAGATAGATAGATAGATAGATAGATAGATAGACAGATAGATATATAGATGGGTAGACAGACAGACAGATAGATAAATAGATAGATAGATAGACAGATAGACAGACAGATAGATAGGTAGATAGATAGATAGATAAGATTGGTTAATGTGCAGGTGAAGGGCTCTGAATTTCTTCGAGTCCTCTATAATATGTTAATTCACGTTTTGCACTGTGGTTAATTTATCCGACGATATTGCACTTCATACAGAAGGTTCTTGACCCTGGTTACACTGCATTGTACGTGTCATATTTGATTATAGGGCGTGGGTTTATAATGATTTGTTGTTCAATTTATATTTAGAAGAAATCAAATGGCAGCTGATGCTGAGGAACGAGATGGCCCGGCAACACAATGTGGTGCCATTATCTGTCCCAGTGAAGCAGGGTGCGAGTAAAAGTGAAAGATGAACCATCTTCCGCACAGTTCTTTGTGCAGCAAATTAATATTACGTAAGTCTGTTTATACGTGCGGCTATTGATCACTGTCATATTAGGCTCGGTTTGCTACTATTCAGGTCATGTGGGTCGTTAGAATAATGCAAGAAAATAAAGGTGAAAGTTTCTAAACCTTTGTAGTGTTTTGGACTCGGCTATTATTTACAAATGTGCAGCATTGAAACGTATCTTAGGATTTCCCAGGAAGTTCCTGTAATATTACGAACAATAATAGAGCACAACAAATTCTATTCTTTTCGGTAACTTGTAAAACCTAAGCTGTTTGTAGACAAATCAGGTATTCCTGTAACAAATAGTAACATGCAAGAATTTTTATGACCGTCAACACAACAAATTCCAAATAAACAAATTAATATTGTTCTATTAACGTTTGTTTTTTATTCTGTATCTTCTACAAGTTTAGGTCTAGTTGGATCATCATCAGGCAGTTTGCATGATAAAACACTTGTTAATGAATTGTGTTCCTAATATAGGATCCATGTTAGAAATTATGTTAATTTAAATTTCGTTGTTAATATCTACCTTTCGTAATGTTATTAAATTGTAATAGTAGCCATAAAGGTTAGAAAACGAATACTTTACTTCAAATCTCTGTCAGAAAGTTAAAATTA